AGTGATCGTTTGATATATGGACCTGCAGCGGAGTTTAGGCCCAGACACGGCTAGTGACGTCAGACTGAACGACCGGATAGTCTATAAAATGATTTTGTGTAGATGAGTTGGTGAAATCATTCTTCAAACTTGGTTTTGTTGGAAGCAAATGATTTCGCTTTTCTCTCATAAACATAGTTTGGGGATCAGTATAATCAATATAGTCAGTTGGAAAACAAAGCATGCAAACTTGAAATGTATATATGTATTACTCGATGGCTGATTAATTTGTTTCACTTATCTACACATTTAGTTGTAGAGGTTATATGAGCTGTGGTAGTTGTTTGGTTTGTAACAAATGTAATCTCCACATATTGACTTTTTTTTCTCAAAGTGCGCACTATTTTTTTTTCTTTTTTTAATCATACAATGAAGCTTTATTGAAAATTTGAGTTTTTATTTTTAGGATCCATCAGAGGCTCAACCCTGCATCTGAACTCAGCTGTGTGTCCTTAAAAAGTCACTGGTCAGCAGATCGTCCCATTAATTTTAAAGTCCAGCAGGCGTCTGCTGCAGAGAGGTGAGCTGTTAGTAACCTGAACTCTTTGATATCAGTTTGGTGTCTGATTTAAATGAACTGTTTGATATTGTTTCCTGGTCTGACCTGCTTGGTCAAAGTTCAGCAATCAGAATACAAGGGCAGCTCTGTGAATTAGTCTAAATATTAGACACAGTGAAGAAAGCATTCAACTTTTATTTAATTTTTAAAGAATATAAAATTAATTCCTTTTTTGGTTGACAGCTGCTAGTCTGTCCAGCAGCTTCTAAAGACTAAAAGGTGTCTTTAATGCTTCATTTCATGCTGATCTTGCTCTTTGTCCACAGGATCCATGAAAGATTACACTCACCTGAACCCGATCTCAGTGGTGTGTCCTTTAAGAGTGATTGGTCTATGGATCCACCAGTAAACTTTAAAAAATGGGGGATTTCAAAGACAAAGTGAGTGAACATCGGTATAATTTCTAATTAGATTAGGCACTTCCAAACATCTAGCAGATGACTTGTGGTGTTTGTCACTTCCCGTTCTCCCCCTGTCCTCAATTTCTGAGTCATTTGATGAGTTTCAGTATCTCTAGTATTTGTTCAACACAGCAGAAAAGGCAGATTGCACATTCTTTTATGTTAAAATTGTTATAAAGAAACAGAATTTTATTCTTCGTGTTTATTGGTCTGTAACAGTAAAATAAGCAAACTGGAGTCTGCTGAACATGATCCCAACTCCGTGTCTGTGAAGAGTAATCAGTCCATGGAGCAGCCACTAGAAATGGAAAGTGCATCAGGCTTAAGACCAAGGAAACGAAGGAGGTGAGTCCTTGAACATCCATCAGACTGGAAGAAGTATATTCTCATTGAGTGGTTGTTCTCGGGTTTAAACAGATCTTCATATTTATATAGTGCAAAATTATGAAGAATAATTAGAAGTGTTCGTGGGATGAATTACTTCTTCGGCTGTCAATCGATTAAGATGTTTAATTGGATACTTATGAATAGTTAACTCATGATTAATCACAAATTAATCACAGATTTTTTTAAAATCTGTTCTAAAGGTACTTCAACAGGATACTTTTCATGTTTCTATACCCTTATCAGTATGATGGTGGACAAATATACTTGCTTTATGCAACTGTATGTTTATTTTTATTGAAACAATTCAAAACAATGAAAAATACTGTGTAGAATTTTCTTCACAAAACCTCAAAGGTGCTTAAAAAATATGCTGAAAGGACACTTAAGCATAAACTCCCACACAGTGTAACTGTTCAATTTACCATTAGACCCAGGCTCATGTAAATTAAGGTTTACAAAAACAGAATTTATGACATTTAACTGAGTTAGAAGTTATCAGGGAATTGGCTCGCTAGCTTCCATCTAAATATAATATACCGTGTTCTAACTGAGAGATGCATTAAACAAATTAAAACGTACAGCTCTGCTATCACTTCCAACATGAATGACGACAGGAAAGTAAACAGCAGCGAAGTGTGGAGGGTTACTGAAGTTGGGCTAGCTGGTATATAATGATGTGCTACGTGATTGCTAGCGACATAGCTGTGTTAGCATAACATAAACAGGAGGATGAACGCTAACACTTTTTCCACTGGATAAAAGTTAACGTGAAGGTTCCTGATGGTTAGAGACAAATGCGAGCGCATGGCAGGATGCTGTAAACGGACCAAACGTCAGTTAGGAGAACCACCGAAATAATCCATCCACAATACGAGGTTAGTCATTTATATACTCCTGCATGGGCTGGGCTGTAGTTACATCCTAAGGGTTTAAAAACCGAGCTTTAATATAATTAGCGGTAATAAAAACCGAGAGAGGCCGACAGTGATCACTGGCGGTTTTTAGGGGCTTGTTGACATAAAATAGAACAAGATACAAAGCATTAAAATGTGTTAAAAACACAACAGTCTTATACGGCATAGACACCAGTATTTTTCTCTCACTATCTCGTCCTCCTGTGACAGATTGTTTTCATCTTCATCTGAACTAAGTGCTGGTTGACTATTTTAATTCACTCTCTTGGTTTGCTCTGGTTCAAACTGGAAAGGTTGAACAGAAGCCAGTTCCAGTGCGCTGCTAATTGTATTAAATTACACCAAATGTTTTCCTTTTAAGCACATTTTATATAAAACCGATTTACCGCCATTGTTATTTTCTTCTCAATGGACTCTGGGTAGTGACATCATATGGTTGCACCGCATCCAGTTCACCACATATGTTTTATTGAAAGCACAGTACATATTTTAGCACAAACATGTCTTTATAGCCGGGGTTCCCTTTAAATCAGGGGTGTCAAGCGTACGGCCCGCGGGCCGGATCAGGCCCGCAAACGGGTTTAATCCGGCCCGTGAGATGATTTTGTAAAATATAAAAATGAGCAGCAATTTTTCAATAAAGAAACTGCTGTTCCAATTGTGTCCATTGGATGGCGCAATAGCAATTGTGAGCTACTTTGTTTTGCCCACGAAATTTAAACCTGATGTGCTTTGGCACCCTCATTGCCCCAACATGTCTCTGTCAAAAAAGAGAAACGTGGATGCAGAGTGTCCAAGAAAAACGGTCATCCTCCTATTTATTCACAGAAGTGAATGGGAAAGCTGTGTGTTTGGTGTGTTCCCAGCATGTTGCAGTGCTGAAAGAATATAACCTCCGTCGCCATTATGTGAGTCTTCATGCCGACAAATATGACAACTTTCAAGGACAGCGGAGAAGAGAGAAGGTGAATGAACTGTTGGCGGGTCTGAAGAAACAGCAGTCTGTGTTTACAGCCGAGACATCAGTGACGCTGCAGTGAAAGCTAGCTACCTCATTGCTAACGAAATTGCACTATAGCTTCAAAACCATTTAGTGAGGGTGAATTCATACAAACATGTATGATGAAGGCATCTGAGATTGTGTGCCCTGAAAAGCGCCAGGCGTTTGCAAATATCTGCCTGACAAGAAACACAGTTGCCGACAGGATTTCTGATCTGTCAGCGGATTTGGACAGTTGAAGCAAAAAATAGTCATTTATTGTTTTTTCAGTTGCAATTGATGAAGGCACGGACATTACAGATGTTGCACAACTGGCAATTTTCATCCACGGAGTTGATGACACATTGACCGTCACCGAGGAGTTTGTGGAGTTGGTACCGATGACCGATACAACGACCGCACTCGTCGGCGCGCTGGACAGGGTCGGAGTGGACTGGTCCCGCGCTGTCAGCCTGGCTACAGATGGTGCGCCCTCATTGATCGGGAAGAAAGCAGGCGTTGTAAAAAAGTTCAGAGATAAAGTGCAATCTGCAAATGGAGGACGTGATTTTTGGACTTTTCACTGTATTTTGCACCAGGAGGCTTTGTGTTGCAAGTCACTGAAAATGGATAACGTCATGAAGGTGGTCATCCAAACTGTTAATTTCATCCGATCCAGAAGTCTCAATCACCGTCAGTTTGACAGTCTTCTCAGAGAGAAAGACCACATCTATGGCCTGCCATACCACACTGAGGTAAGATGGTTGAGCCGAGGTGCTGTGCTGAGGCGTTTCTTTGATTTACGAGAAGAAATTGAACAGTTTATGGAAGAAAAGGGCAAACCAGTGTTAGAATGGATGCAGCACCTCGCATTTATGGTGGCTGTTACAGAGCACCTGAATAATTTGAACAAACAGCTGCAAGGACGCAACAAAGTTGTCAGCATTATGACAGCATACGTTCTTTCAAGCTGAAGCTGTTATTGTGGGAGACGCAGCTCGCTGGTGGTGATGCAGCTCACTTCCCCTGTCTGAAAAATGTGTGCACGACCCAAAGTGTGGCAGATGCTCACCGTTCACCGTGAATCCCTTTGATCTGCCCGTCAGGATCCAACTTGAAATAATAGACTTGCAGTGTGACTCGGATTTGAAGGGCAAGTTTACCGCAGCTGGCTTGAACACATTCTATCAGAATCTCTTGCCAGGTTACCCCAACTTGACAGCCCTCGCTGCAAAACTGTTGTGCATGTTCGGAACCACGTATCTTTGTGAGCAAGGTTTCTCTGTAATGAGCACAAATAAAACAAAACTGCGCTCAAGGCTCACGCACAGACACTTGAATCACATCCTGAAGTTAGCTGCCGCTCAGGATGTGAAGCCTGATATTGATGAGCTGGTGAAAGCTAAAAGATGCCAGGTATCAGGAGTCAAATAAACTATGCAACCCCACTGAAAGTGCTGCATGAGACACCCTGATGTAGTTCTGTGAATCACTGAGGCACTGTGTGTTTGTGTGATCTTTGTCCTCAGAGTTTTCAAATAACTTGAGGTGTTTTATGATTAATAGCTGTGTTGTGCCTGTACTATTTTGAACATACCGTCCACAGGCTCTAGCTTTATTTTTTATGTTGATCGTATTAAAACAAAGAAAACAATCTGATTTTACCAGTCCGGCCCACTTGAGAATAGACTTTTCTCCATGTGACCCCTGAACTAAAATGAGTTTGACACCCCTGCTTTAAATAATCATGCCCCATCTTATCTTAATGACCTTGTAGTACCATATCACCCCATTAAACAGCACATGAGAAACAGCTGCTTGTTTAAGTGAAAATAAGTTGTGGAGTTGTAAAGTATTTTGTCGCGGATCAATTATATCACCAGTTATATCATTATCGTAAATTTTCTAACATATATTGAGATAAATATTTTGGGCCATATTGCCCTGCCCTAAATTCCAGTGTCTTTGAATAAAACAGTTTGGCTAAACCTTTTTTTGCTCTCCTGTTGCATTTAGCAGAGGCTGAGCAACCCAAGCTTCTTTGTTTTTCTTTTTTCCTGACAAAACATGTACATGGAAACACCACTAAAGAGAAATGAAAAAAACAAACAAACAAAAAAGCAACAACATACAGTAGTTGGGCTTCCCCCATTCCTTTTTGTTAATCAGACAAGCATTTCGACATTTTCAGATGACAGGGCAGCTCACTTTTTCTGAACAACATGCCCAGACAGCGATGTGCCAGGTGTTACTTGTGTACAAGGTAGGCCATCTCACTGTGTCCTCTCTTCATGTTTGGAACTGGCTCTACAATGTATCACTTATTTCTCAATATACAAGCCTCTTCTTTGTCAGATGAAGACTCAGAGGCAAGCATGAGAGATGATCTTTTCTTAGACGGTTAATATGTTGCTGGTTGTTCAGGCTGTGGATGTCTCCTTGAATGTAACCATTGAAGCTGGGTCATCCTCAGAGACCTCCAGCACTCCTGACAAATCACACAAAACTGGCAACACCACAGAGTAAGAAAAAAAACTTTCCCCCTCCTAGACGTTATGCACTGCCACTGAAAGTTTGTCCACACCTTCTAATTTAATGGTTTTTCTTTATTTTCATGACTATTTACATTGTAGATTCTCAGTCAAGGCATTCAACAATGAATGAACACATATGGAATTATATAGTAAACAAAAAGGGTGAAATAACTCAAAACATGTTTTATATTTTAGATTCTTCAAAGTAGCCACCCTTTGCTTTGATTATCGCTTTGCACACTCTTGGCATTATCTCAGTGATCTTCTTGCGGTAGTCACCTGAAATGGTTTTCCAACAGTCAAGAAGGAGTTCCCAGAGAGGCTGAGCACCTGAGCTTCAGCCACCACATGGCTGTAGCTCAGGAGGTAGAGCAGGTCTTCTACTGATCAGAAGATTTGTTTGTTTGATACCTGGCTCCCCCTAGTCTGCATGGGCAAGATACTAACCCCACGTTGCTTTCCAATGCATCCATCGGATTATGAATGTGTGTGAATGGTAGTTAGAAGCACTTAACCCTTTAAAACCGGTCG